TCTCTCTCTTTCGCTCACTCTCCAAAGAAAACATGCCCTCATCCACCCAGCCTCTCAAGCGACTTACACCCACAGATACTAAATTATGCAACAGAAACGCCAGCTAAATCGATGGTATCTGACAACATAATTTTACAAAGTTACCGAGTTTGAAAACCGATTGAGCTATAAATAATGCTCGCCGGGGTGAAAATAAAATGTAACCTTTATTTCAATGGGGAAAATGCGACTCCTTACCACCCATTCCCCGAAACATACAAAGACATGTCAAACAAAATATTTTTTATTCCAGATCTAGATATATATAGAGATCTAGATCTAGGACTCATCTCAACCAGGACACAAAACTGTCGTCTACACCTCCCAGTCATAAGGTGCTGGACATACACACTACGCATGGTATGGCCAAGATCTAGAATCTAATTATGAACTCAATAGCTTGGAGTACCACGTCTTTCTTTTTCACAACAATGTCACAACCTTTCCTTTTTCATTCGCCTAGATATCTATATATACATAATAAATTCACAAAGCGTTCACTTTATCCGCTTTCTATTTCTTTTTTTCTCTAAAGTTCATCAGGAAAAAATCGGAATAACATTATGAAATGCCTAAATCTAGATTCTAGATCTAGATGTGTGCTGTGCCTGATTTGTTTCTCTGTCCTTCAACGCATCAATCGATCTAATGTTCCCCTTCCATGAACGAAGTCCTCTTCAACAACAACACACATGTAGCAGAGACCGCATCAAAGAAAGGAAAAGATAAACTTTACCAAACATGATCGAAGAGCATGCCCTAAACTTGTACTCACCCGATGAGATTACGAAAGCGTTGGGTGCTCACATTCCAAGAGAATTAAACAACAACGACGACACAACTCACAGCAGCTATTCCGAGAGAACAAGGAGGGCACGATACGACAAAGACCGAAATGGCTCATGAGATCCTGTTATTGCCAGCACTGGTCTGTCCACCCACGTGAATGAAATGGCTGCCACCACCACAGTCCTGCCGCGCACGGAACAGTAGAGATGTCGTAGTGGTGCCGTGCCGGGAGAGAGGAGGAGGAACCAGGGAAGAAAAAGAAAAAATAACCGAGTCAACCCATCGATACCACCAAAGTGTGTGAGTGCGTGTGTGTGTGTGTATGTGTGCCCTGCTGTTTTCTCACTCGCTCGCTTACTCACGCACCACACAGACGCGCATGCACGGTGGGGAGTGATGGCCGAGGCTGCAATGACTCTCTCTATCACTCCACAAATTATTGAACTCCTCAAACGGATCGTTCGCTGCCAACGTGGGTTGTAGCTGGTCTTTGTTTAGTTTTCCCTCGCTCGTCATGGATTGTGATGGATAGCATTTTTTAAAATATGAATTCAAAGCAACTGCAACATAAATCCATTTTGCACCAAGTTATAGAGAACAATGTTTTCTGATTAATACGAACAACTAATAAATACGAACAACTTATACGAGTATACGAACAGCTGTTTGCCATAAACTGAAGGGGGCGAACATGGTGAAATTTGATGATGATGCCATACTGACATCCACTGGCATAATCGTCCCAAACCAACAAAGTTTAAATGACAAGTCAATTCATTCAAAAGTCTTACAATACATTAAAACAAAATTATTTTTTTATACCCGTCGTAGTCAGACCAAGGATTCTTTACTACCAAGATATTGCAATTCCTATGGGCTTTTGTCCCGTTGTGAGCCCTCTATGCCGGTTTTTTAAAATCAGTATTTATTAAGGAATTTTATAGAATAGCCAACAGGTGTTTACAAAAGTATTGATCTGGTGAGACAAATTAATACAAGTCATTGTGCAAAAGCTGGAGGGTCTATTCGATAGTTTATAGGAATATTTGAAAATGAGTTGCGTCACGAATGTTTTACCGCACTATAATTTAGTTTATATAGTGTGCTATTCTTTTGGCTCCGTCCGCGAAATAAACCCCAAACAAAACAACAGTAACGCAAGCATAGCCAATGCAAGCAGAAAACGTACGATTCAAAAGTCGAACAATTAAGAAACTGCATTTATATGACAAGGAGCCAAGGGGTAGCGGTAGAAATGATGCAGAAAGAGTCAGGAGCCCAGAGGAGGGGGCAAAGGAGGTGAGGGGGGGGGGTGTGGCAGAAACTGAGAAAGTGGAGAAGAAAGCAGACGACAGAACATTGTTAGAGAACAGGAAATAATGTGAAAGGAGAAAATTTAAGAGAAGAAAATTCTTCCTCCGCTATCCGGATTCAAACCCGGGACCTACTGGATAAGAGGCGAACACCTTACTTAACCTCTAGACCACGAGAGGCCCCTGGGGTACTGAATGTTTTACCGCACTATGTGTATGTGGG